ATCGAAATTTTAGCTGGTACATCGGATTTTGACTGAAATGATCGGATTTTGATCGAAACGAAAATTAATATTATATCGTTTCGGTTAACCTTAAAAACCGATACGTATCGGCCAACCGGTCAGTATGGTATGGTTTTTACTCCTTTGGTTCGTAGGAATGATATTGAATATCAAGAAAACTATAAGGACTTATGTAAAAAGAAATAAATATTTGGGGACTTCATCTATGATATTGCCCACACGTCTTTACCTTCTTCATAAGCTCAAATTGGAGAAATGTATTTATCTTGTTATTCGAAAGACCTTGGAGATAAAGGACCTCATGGTGTTCGCCTTCCTCAAAGGAACAGAAGCTCTAGACGCCTTAGCGTATGGTTGATATGATTTTAAAGCAGTGGATTATTGCTATATTGCGAGAGATTTTTCTTTGATGAAAATAGTTAAACTTTGTTTTAGAAGGGTAAACAAAGAGGTAACATGTGAAAATTAGTTTTGTGAGTTTTAATACAAAATTTACATCTAATTTAAATTTAATTAACAATAGATGGAGTAGTTCTTATATTTAACTCATATTTTTTTTTGTTATATGTTTGACGTGGAATTTTTTAATTCAACAATCTAACAAAACAACATGTTAATTGAGAAAATTTCATATTGAATATAAAAAAAAAAGCATGTAACTTAAATATAAGAATGGTTACTTTATTTATTATTAATTTATTTTAAATTAAATGTAAGTATTATATTGAAATTCACATATTTAATTTTCATATAACAGTGTTGGCACTAGCCACCAGAACTATGCCAGCAAAATTTATGAAAGCACTCTATCAAAAGTCACTCCAATCGAACTGAACGGAGGCACAATGGTTTTGAACTTTTTGATTGAAAACTGGTGCTAAAACCTACTTGATTTGACAATTTCATATCTTTAGATCCATGTGTTTTCAAAGGAAAACAACTTTTTGAAAAAGATTTTAGAAGTTGATTTCCAAAAAAATACAATGGTGTTTTCCATTGACTAGTTTTCAAGATTATTCTCAAAAACAAGAAAATGGAAAAAATCAATTTTGGAAATAATTTTCCATGAACCAAATGGACCCTAAAGGTTATCGAATCACTCCCTTAACAAAGGGAACTAAGGATAGTGGCTATACTATCTGCAAGGAAATGAAAAGTCGAGTAGTGTGTGCTTGAGTATTGAAACTTGCCTGAGATTGCTTGAAGATCAATACTCGAATGTGGGCCGTGATCAATTGGTTTCAGAGAGGGGCAGAGCTTGCTTTCAACGACCAAGGCCTTTTGGTATTTACAGCATAAATTGGAATGTTGTTAGAAATATGGATGTGCCTTCGCTTAAGGTCAAGAGTCCTTGCCATCATGCTTCTATGCCTCCATTAGAAACTTAGAGAGAACGAAAGAAGCCATGATTGAAAAAGAAAGTACGATTAAAAATTCGAAAAAGAGAAGAAAATAAAATGATATAACAGCTACACAAACTTCAATACCTCCCATGAAAGAGTTTTGTTACTTTGGACAATATATTATATTATGTACAATGTATTATATTATGTTTTCCCGATAAGATTCATTATAAGATTTAAAAATGAGAGAATATTACGTTAACCATTTAGTAATGTAGTGGAAAGTGTTGTCTTTTATTTGTAATAAATTGATTAGTAAATAATAATGAATTGATCTTTTCGATTACAAATATAATTATTGTTATGTAATTAAATAGAGATATTCTTGACTTGCTAACCTGTTGTATAGAAGAATTTCTTAATCCAAATAGTCTTCAATAAAGGAAAAGATCAACCATCATGGAGACAAAGCCAAATAGGCCAAGTTTGCCCAACCCACAGAGCATGACTTCCACTCCACCATGGCCAAAGTAGATACTCCACTGGCAAGTTGAAAGGAAGAATCTACAGTAACCTTTAGAAAATTAGAGGAGGTATGAGAACAGATAAACAATTGCTATGATCGTCTTTGCGCTAGACAAGTAGTGGGATCAAATAAATCCACACATGGGGCATTACAATGTTCCTAGATCATCAAATTAATCCAATTAAGTACCTATGGGAGATCAACCAACGATTGCTCAACATATCTCTTATTCCTAGCTTTTCATAAGTGCATTTGTGCCAATAGATAAACACACTTTGTTCTAGCATCCACCCTAAAACTAAAAGAATCCACCCTGAAATTAAATAGTTAATTTAAAAAGTTTGGTGTTTTATACCCAAATTGCACCGAATAGGGGTGGTGGTGGATGCAATGATTTGTATGATGCAATGACTTTATCAAGGAGCTAGAGAACCCAATGGCTTTTAATTAGGAAGATATTTAAACGGGGAACTCACAGAGTTGGGACGTTTCTAATTAGATTTGCTGTAAAACTCAATGGCTTTTGACTGGGAAGAAATTATGTTTTTAATTGCGTCTCAAGCTGGTAATAATGTAGGAGCAAGGGATTGATAGACTATATGTAAATCTGTAAAATCTTAATTTTGTTGGTCTAATCTGTTAACTCCCCAAGATTTTGCACCAAATAAAATTGATAATACTTCAATTTCGTTTTTTTTTTTTTTTTTGAACTATAGTACTTCAATTTCTTTAATACGTTACTAATTACTAAAGCTAGAAGAATTCAATATTCTGCCAATAAAAAATTCATGTCTTCCAGTAGGCAAATAGAAATCCAAATTACAGGCCTTTGGACCAAGAACATGGTAACACACCCACAGTTGGCCCATTAACAAATCTTATTAGACTGAATATAAAGCCCAAAATAATTAGGCCATCTGTTACACCCGCAACATAATTTGTTGAAGAACTTGCTCTACTCATTAAGTGTTTATTTAATAATATTTTTTATATTTTAATTTTTAATTTGTATTTTT